AGTAAAATATTTTTTAAAAATTAATAAAAACAAAAATAAAAAATGAAAAAATGAAATAAAAATAAAAAAACAACCATGATGGCAACACTCAACATGCCTTGTTTACTCAGAACACTGTTTTTTCCCCCACAAAAAGGGTGGTAGGGGAGATTCCTCCCCAATTTCTGTAGTAATTACCGTTACAGCTTGTATTTGACAAATTAATAAGTGTTTTGTAGACATGATGTGTATGGATAAATGTTTTTTTTCGCCTCTAAATTTTAAGGGGGAGGTACCTGATGGGTTACTTGCAGAAAAGCGCATGGCCCATAAGACTTTTTTGGTAAAAAATACTATAAGAAAAACCTAAAAACGAAAATGATTTTTTTTTTAGGTTTTAAAAGCATTTGTCCGTTTTAATTTTTTTAAACATTTCAATACAATCTCAATTGTTGATGTTTCTACCACTTCCGTCGCTGCTTATTTTTCAAGTTGGACGGAAGTGAGTAGAACATAAATTAATTTATACATTTTCCCAAAACACAAAACCATCAGAAAATCTTGGTTGGGGAAATAAAAAATTTGCCCCTGATTCTTTAATTCTCATGTCCTTATTATGGGGTGGGCCCATATATCATGAAAAACAAAAAGTTTTGTTTATTTTATGAAAAGGGTGTATAAATACCATTGTGCTTTTTCTTGCCTTGATTTCTGTTTAGTAAATTGGAAAAAAAAAAATCAAGGGGATAATTGTAAAATATTCATAGCCCAAATCACAAACCTAACTAGGGTAAAAGTTCTGTATATGCCCTTTCTGAAAACTTTTTAAAATTTTTTGAGCGCCCCAAAAGGGGAAAGGGGGGCTACAAGGCCATTCCCCCAAATTGACGAAAAAAAAAATTAATAATTTAAAAAAATTAAAATTATTTGTAATGAAAAATTTGTATTTGCATGTTTTACGACAGTAAAACACCCCTCTTTATGGCATCTCGTGAATGTGATGTTGGGACGTTCTTAGTGGGGGGTACAAAAAAGAAAAAAAGAAAATTAAAGAAAAAGAACGAAAAAAGAGTAGGAAGCGCAAAAATATCACAGACATGCCAAAAAACATTTCTGTGTTAGCATACAGTTAAAATCTGCAGATATCGATTGTACAGGAAGCCCTCCTCCATTTATTTTCACCCGATTACTTCTTTTGTGTCTCCTCTCAATGTCTAAACACATTTCATCACGGGATTTGTTTTAAAAAGATCCGCCTTTTTCCAAATGTAACCCCATTTTTCCCCTTTAAGCTTTCATTCAGAAAACTTCAGTCAAACTCTAACATTGATTTAGGAAATAGCAAGGTTTTTTATGAGGGAAAGTCGCGTTTTTTAAAAAGCCATCTATGTTTTATAGGAAAAGCTTTGCAAATTCAAAAACTGTAAAAAGATCATGGATGGTATACTCTGAAGCTCGGGAAAAGCGTATGTTCAGCTGCAAGCTATTTTCTCCCAAAAAGAAAATACCTTACACGGGGGTTCAATGACGGGGAAAAATTTCCCCAAGCGTTTCGAGGAAAATGAAAACAGCCCCACTCACAGGGGCTGCATTTTACCCAGGTATTTCGGCACAAAAAAAAGGCTTATTGGATTTCATTGGAAAATCAAATGAAAAAGAGCGCACTTATGGGAAAAGTCTGAAAGAGTTGTTGCGTTGTAAAATTTCTTAGCTCTAAGAAAACTTGCTTTCGTGGGGGAAAATGGGGTTTTTTGGTTAGAAAAAAATTGAAATTTTCCCTGGGGATCATACAACTTTAGCCAATTCGATCCTTTCTTAGCAAATCTGTTTTCACCCCGGGGAATGCAGGAAGAGGCACGTATCTTACATTCACAACTAATCATGAATTTATTGAATGATCTAAGAAGGTCCTCAAAACTTAGCAGCTGTGAAAACTGCAAAAAAAATTTGCAAAAAGAATTCAAAAACCAGATATTTCAATACAGATCAAAATTAACATTCATTGTTCGCTTTGTCGACTCCGGTGGTAACCTGTAGAGGCTTTATAAAATTCTTCCTCTTTCAGGCCCTGATGGAGAAACAGTGATGAATGTAGTACTGGAAATCTGCTTGAACCGATCCCCTCTTTTAGGATTGCCGTGGCCCGAGCACGACAATGCAAGTAACATTCGGGTAAATAAAATGGATTGAAGCCCTATCAAGCAATCAACCCCCTTGCTGAAATGTGCCCCGCTCAGCACATTCTCTTAAAACTTGTTGGGTATGTGCTGTGGGGTGATGTGTCCCTGCAGTTTCATTTTTTTTGGGCTTTTACAAGCACTCGCTAAATTTTTTTCTGCTTCATTGGTGGGGGTAACTCAACCAACCATTCAGGGTGTCATCAAATCATTACAAAAACAAGGTGGTCAGGCGCGCATGATGCAAAACAGTTGGGAAAAAAAAGCTTTGCTGAAATACGTTCTGCTTTGATTCAAAATTAAGGATGAAAACCAGCAGCAATAAGAAGCGCGCCCCCCAGCTTAGCATCAAAAATTTAGATTTTGAATTTCCTTACCTGTGTGCTTTGGGCTGTATGGAATGGTTTAAAAACCACGAAAAAAGACACTTCAGAAAATTTAAATTTTAAAAGGCTACTTGTGCTAACCCTATGCAGGGTTGTGGGAAATTTTTAAACTCACTTGCATGATGAAGCTTTTGAAATGTTTGAAGAGAAAGCTAAACTGCTGGTGAAAGGCACAGTTACCGGGTATTATCGCGGGCAAGAAGAGGGGAAAAATTTTGAAGAGCCAAAAATGAAATTTTGTTGCTACCAAGGAGGAATGTAAGAAACTACATACTTCATCATTTGGATTCCGATTAAGAATTGGTGAAAAAGGGAAAAAAATCTACCAGAATCTCAATGAAAGTTTGGGTTTTGTTTAAATTACTACTATGCCAGATGAGAATTGAGGAGCGATTTTTAAATTGCAACCAAAACCTTTCGCAGATGTTAGGGGCACATTGTTGAGGAATAGTTCATTTTTTGGGTATATGAAACAAAATTAAAACTCCACCCAAAAATGTGCACCCCCGCTGCTTTTAAACATTTTAAGAAAAGAGGGATCTCAGAAACCTTTCCCCAATGTTGGGCATGTGTATCGCCTTTTTCCCAACATTCAGCTACAACTGGAAGGAGAATGTTCATTTTCTGTTTTGAAAAAAAGTGAAAAACCAGCTCCGTTCAACAATGAGCCAAGACAAATTGTGTAACCAACCTTTTTTGACCATTGAGTGTGATTAACAAGAAATTTGATTTTAAATTTAAAATTTTGATTTTGCCAATATGAAAACCAGAAAAAAAATTTATTTAAGAAGTGATGGGAAAAAAACAATTCTTTACTTTTTGGTTTTTATGTTTTTTAGTCTTATGCATGATGCAATGATAACAATAATGGGCAGTGATTATAAAGGGAAAAATTGGGGTAGTGGTTAGTGAAAAAAATAGGTAAGATGTCATACTTTAATGCCTAAATAGAAAAATTAGCCCGTCTTGAGTTTTTTCTCTTTAAAAAGGGATGATTTTTCAGATAGTTATAGTCTTTGGTAATGGTTTTGGTTGTTTTTAGTATTTCCCCATTAAAATTTAAACTAAATAGCCGAAAGTATTTAAAATTTGACCTTAAAAGGTCACACCGTTTCCCCCACCCCCCCCCCCCCAAAGGGGAAGGGGCCCCTTCGCTTACCCTAACTCAAAGGGGGCCCCCCCAAACTGAATAGCCTAGGGCCCCGGGGATTCTTAACGGCCCTGCTTCCGGAACGGATTATGGACATAATTGAGGGACCATGATTGTGGGTAAACAGTTTTCAGGCTTTTTATTAAAAATCATGGTATTCGAGTTTTTGAAACTCCCACTTGAAAGTTTTTAAGTGTATTTTTGAAAAGGGTTTTATAATTTTTTTGGGGCGAAACGGACAATTAATTTTCTTATTCCTTTTGGGAACAAATTGTTCGTATCAGACTTAACAGCCCTTTTGGGAAAGAATTAAGTTCGTAATCGAGGTACCACTGTACATTTGAAATGAAAAAGGTTTTCACTTTTCAGCAGTTTTTGCTTTACAGAGTAGCCCCGAAATCTAACCTGCTGTATAAAGGGGAAACCCCTGTATTTTTTTGGACAAAAATAAATGCAAGTTTCTGTTAAATCATGAAAGAATCACAATACGAAAATGTAATTGTCTGATTTTGTAGGGTGAGTGCTGGAGGGGACTTATAATAAAGACAACATGGATAGAATATTCCTAGGTAGTAGGTTGGTAGACAGTAACCGCCCAGGGAGGTACTACTGTCCTGCCAAGTGAGTGTAAAACTGAAGCCTGTAATTGTTCTACACGATGGTAGGATTGCGGTGTCTTTTTATTTCTGTCCCATGCACATGCAAGATTTCAGGTACGTCTTGCTACTTCTACTTACACTTAGATCACACTACACATACATGTACAAGCATATGTATACACAGCCCTTTGGGTTTTCTTCTATTTTCTTTCTAGTTCTTGTTCTTGTTTATTTCCTCTTACCTCCATGGGGAAGTGGAACAGAATTCTTCCTCCGTAAGCCATGTGCGTTGTAAGAGGCGACTAAAATGCCGGGAGCAAGGGGCTAGTAACCCCTTCTCCTGTATATATTACTAAATGTAAAAGGAAAAACTTTCGTTTTTCCTTTTGGGCCACCCCGCCTCGGTGGGATACGGCCGGTGTGTTGAAAGAAGAAGAAAGGATAGAATATTCATAACTAACCTACAAATTGGAATTAGAAACTAGATGGCATTTCAGTCCATCCAAGACAATTTGTGGGTTGGTTGAAAGTTGTTAAGACTTATATTAAATTGTGAGTTTTAAAGTTTATGATACAGTTCAGTACTCTTATTCAACCTTCCATATGACACACTAATAGGGAAGGAGCAGGTGGGTGGTAATGGCAGTTATGGTGGATGAAGTAGAGTGTTTTGCTATGATGGTAACAGTTCTGTAATTGTGGGATGGAGATGGGGTGTCATAGAGTGAGTCAAATTCGGCGGGTTGGTGGCACTGGTGCGCCGCCTGTAGGTGAGGCAGAGAAACGTGAGTGTAAACAAAGAGAGCGTGAGGCCGACGAAACACGTATTACCTCCCTAATACGTAAGTTAATAGTCACGTATTATGCAGGGGAGGGCAATGCACACCCACTTTAGATTTCCGTCCATACTGTGCCAGTTAATGATATATCAGGGCTAGGAGGTACAATGTGTACTCACAACATCAGGTTGTGCATCCTAATTTGTGTTTTGTCTCTTTGCAGCTAGGAGCATTCATTATGTTGTACTTGAATGAAGGATTACCAACACTCACCCGAATGTCTCTTTGACCAGTAATCAAGGCACTTAGTTGTTTCCGAATCAGTTGAACCAGTGGATTTTGTATATCAAGGGTTTAATTGTATGATTTTCAACTCTGGTAGTATAATGTATACATTTTGATGGTACAGTACTTGGACAGGTCTGGTAGTGTATCCAAAAATGTGCTGTGCCCAATCTTAACATTACAGTATTGTCATTTATTTATTTGCCTTCCTTTTTTTGCAGGGTTGGTATTCATCAATTTGAAGACGAGTTGAGCCGGCATCTGCTTATACTTGGAGCTGTTGGCTGTGGCATTTGCCTCATTCAGGTCTTTGGGATGATCCTCCTGCTGCCTTTATATAAAACTAAAAGATGTTGATGATAGCTACTATTAGTGGATGGCAGTATTCAATGTTGCAAATGATGTAATTGAGATAATGTTGCATTTATATATAAAAATTATTAAAATACTTGTGATATGAAAATGGGCATTAATATAAATTAAATCCATGCAAAAATTCATTTGTTTATTGAATGCAGACCTGACATGGTCTACCATGTGCTTTACATCTTCGCCACAGAATTAGGACTTACCAAGTCCTAGCTTCTGATAAGCCCCAGCAGGGCTGGCACTGAGGGAAAAGAGGAGGACTGAAGCCCCACAAAATTCCATTCACTTCCCCCCAAAGCCCTTAATTAAGTAAAAATAAAAAAAATAATGCTGCTTCAGGCCATATCCCCCTAGCTCCCCCTCCCTCTTACATTCAGATTGCTACTCCTATATAAATATTCTGGAGCCTTTTGTGACTCCTCCTCCTTAATTACTTTTTATAGTCATACCACTCATGATTTTCATATTGTAGAACGATGGTCTGTGCATGTAAAGTCATTTAGTCAGCAAAGGAAGCATGCTAGCATATATATATCTTGACACTGCATGCTTCTTCAACAGTTAAACTGTTTGGAAGGAAGGGCAGAAACCTATGCTGACAAATACAATGTAAAATGCCTGACCCAGCTGCTGTGTTGCTGGTGTCAAGGTCAACAATAGTGAGGTAGTGGCAGAGCATTGGGCACCTATTTGCTCAGGTCTACAAGGGCAAGCACTTGCCTGAAGTTTTTTACTCTTAAGTCTGCTGTTTTTTTTTTTTTAACTAAGACAGGCAAGATGGAGAGTTTTTTTGCTGGAGCAGATATGGGTGATGGTGTAATAGACAGCTAGATTAGATAATGTCCATGTGACCAGTTTTATTGGTTGCACCCTTCATACAGTTGTATAATTGTATTTGATAAACAGGGCTCACTGGTATTCTTGCATGTGGGACTTGGTCATCACTAGTTGAATAACTGCCATTTTTTTGTGCTGGTAGGGACAGTCACATTGCTGAAGCTTCTCTCCAAATTCCTTTGATTAGATTTTTGATTGGTCTTTATCACACTGTTTTAAATTTTCTGCTATGAGGAGTCCAGTCATTCTGATCCTGAACCTGCACTTTTATTGCTCTCCTGTCTTTACTAGCTGGGTGGCAACTTTATACAGTGGACCCCCGGTTAACGATATTTTTTCACTCCAGAAGTATGATCAGGTGCCAGTACTGACCGAATTTGTTCCCATAAGAAATATTGTGAAGTAGATTAGTCCATTTCAGACCCCCAAACATACACGTACAAACGCACTTACATAAATACACTTACATAATTGGTCACATTCGGAGGTAATCGTTATGCGGGGGTCCACTGTACTTTGAGGTGCCAGCACTGCTTGCAGCACTTTTTGATACTAGTATTTAAAATTTTAGGTGTGAAGTCCATATCAATTACAGAAGTGACATTATATTTATTAGAAACATAAATTACAGTACAGTATTCTGTGTTAATTTTTAATAAAATTTGCTCTGAATTCACATATACTTTCTGGGCAGTGTGTCTTTGATGACATAGTTTGCCTAAGGTTTTCTCTTGCTATTTATTGAGTTCCATTTGGAAGATATTATGTGGGAGACGGCCAACTTGTTAAAAAAAAAAAAAAAACTACAGGTATCTGAAGTAAACAATGGTAGTATACTTTCTTTTTTTTTTTTTTTTTTTTTTTCAACAAGTCGGCCGTCTCCCACTAAATTTGTGCATCTTGATATTTTTATCAGTAGTGTGTACATTCCTGAAGGTTAACTTGTGTTTAGTCTGCATGGCTTATCAAATGTTCAATCCTTGCAGTATTAATATGAGTTTCAATGTCTTCAGTATATTATGTGGGAGTTGTCACAGCTGCTCTTTGCTGATGACACTGTGCTCTTGGGAGATTCTGAAGAGAAGTTGCAGAGATTGGTGGATGAATTTGGTAGGGTGTGCAAAAGAAGAAAATTAAAGGTGAATACAGGAAAGAGTAAGGTTATGAGGATAACAAAAAGATTAGGTGATGAAAGATTGAATATCAGATTGGAGGGAGAGAGTATGGAGGAGGTGAACGTATTCAGATATTTGGGAGTGGACGTGTCGCGGATGGGTCATGAAGATGAGGTGAATCTTTGAATTGAGAGGGAAAAAAAAAGAGTGAGGGTGCATTGGGTCTGTGGAGACAAAAATTTTGTTTTGGAGGCAAAGAGGGGAATTATGAGGTATAGTTTTACCAACGCCTTATATGGGTTGAACGTGGGTGAAAATGTTGCGCGAGGAGGGGGTGGAGGCAGTGGAGATGTATTCGGGGGCAATGTGTGTGTGAATATATGCGGGAAAATTCGTAGTTTGGAAGTGGGGGGGTCGGGATTAAAAAAACTGTTGTCCAGAGGGTGGGGAAAGGGTTGTTGAGGTGGTTCGGACTGTAGAGAGAATGGAGCGAACGATGACTTAAAGAGTGTTCAGTTGTGTGGAAGGAAGGGGGGGGTGGGGTGGCCTGGAAGGGTTGGAGGGGGGGGTAAAGGGGGTTTTGTGTGCGAGGGGCTTTGGACTTCCAGCAGGCATGTGGCGTGTTTGATGGAGGAAATGGGACAAAGGTTTTTAATACTTGAGGCTGTTGGGTGTGAGCAAAGTAAACATTTATGAGGGATTAGGGAAACCGGCAGGCCGGGGCTTGGTCCTGGAGATGGGAAGTAAGTGCCTGCACTCGAAGGGGGGTGTTAAAGTTGCAGTTTTAAAACTGTATGTAAAGCACCCTTCGGAAGGGCAGTGATGGAGTGAAGATGGTGAAAGTTTTTCTTTTTCGGGCCACCCTGCCTTGGTGGGAAACGGCCCCGGGGTGATAATAAAAATAAAAAAAGGATATGTTGGATCTGCCTTCATGTTCTTTTGAAAAAAGGTTGGGTTGCAAATTTTAGTCAGTGTCATTCATGGTAGCCCTTTTTCTCAAAAAACATTTAATGTGCCAACGGAGCCACAGATGAATGTTGTATTTTGAATGGGGTAAGTATATGCCAAACATTTTCTAAATATTTGGTTTTTAAAAGTGGGCGATTCCATCAACCTTTTTTTTTGTCGGGGATATCCAAAATATTTATAAATTCTTAGGGGGTGGAGTGTAAGGAATTCTCTTTGGATACTCTAGCAGAAATAATATTTTGGGGAAAAGCATAGTTGGTTTCGTGGGTTGTCTCTTGGGGGAAAATAACCTAAGGCTTGATGAAAATAAGTCACATTTCTTAATTTTTTTGGTTTATCTTGGGTTATTATCCTCTCGGGATAAACTGAAGAAAAACTTTTTTTCTCGTGTCGTGCAGCTGTATAGCTCACACTGTAGAGGTTTTTTATTTGTGGTTAATTCACCTTAATTTTAAAAATTTTTGTTTATAACACCGTTTTTTAAAAGTTTTGACATTTATAAAAACCCTTTTTGGGTTTTCTGTAAAGCCACTGTGTGCAAACGTTTCCAATAAAGATACCAAGAGTTGCACATGTCTAATTTAACAACGTGTCGGTTCTCTGAACCTTTGATCTAAAAACCTTATTTCCTCCTTAAAAGTAATTTGCAGGGTAAAAAAAAACCACTATTGTATGACAGTATTCGAGGACTCGCCCGCAGCAGTCATCTGATGAAACTGCATTTTTTAAAATTAACTCTGTCTTGAGCACTTCCAGTCTCCTATTGCAGTGCACACTGATGTTTCAAAATCTTCCTATGATGTCAGGTAAACAGCTATTTTCCTAACTGAATCATCAGAAGTCATTTATTGGAATCGACTCGTATTTTCACAGTGGAATCGTGGATTTCTCATTGCTATTGTGCATATTGCAGCCACATTCACCTTGGCATTTATAGTTGCTTCAAACTCCCTTAGGGAGTCATAAGCTATCCAGAAATTTGACTCTCCTCATCTTGTCATCCTTTGTATATAACTTTGGCTATGTTGCATTTCTAGCTAGGACAGAGAAGTCATATTTTGCTCGGTCCCTGGACATCTATGTTCAGGCAATAAACATGCAGATTCAGCTGCTTAGCTATTCAAGACTTTCAGGTTTCCCATAAGGTATTCCTTAGACTATTTTTCTGTGCTAATTCACCACTTCCACAACTGGTGTCAATGTTGGTTTGCATTGGGCCACAATAAAAAAAGTTTTTCTATAGACCCATGTTTAGGATTTTGACTATTTTCCCACCATTGTCAAGTTTGGGAGACCACACACTTGCATGACCACACTATTGGACACACACGACTCAATCACAGACATCACTTGGAGAGAACTGTCACTACTCTGTGAGGACTGCTAGGCCACATTGTCTGTCTAACTTTTCTTAATAGATTGGCCTACTTATCAGAATGTACTCAAAATCCACTTGAATAAACCACCTTGACTCATACTCACTGACCT